ATGAAATAAAGATATAACAAAGACTATACTGCCTAATGCTTTGAATTGTAGCACCACTATCCAATACTGATATATTCAAACATACAACACACATAAGAGAATATTATGCTTGTATAAGACTCTCTTAAGAGACAACAAAACAAGTTTAAGACATACAAATCACCTCATGCTTCTTGCTCAAGCGTGAGTCTTATACGCAGGCTTTAAGCAGTTTGGTATTTGGCATCGATCTAGCTTAAAAATAAAAAAGAATTTTGTTGAATTAAAAAAGCTACTTTAACATGGGATAGGATTTGGAAAATCTGTAGAGTACTTTTACAATGTAGATGTGAGTTAGTCATTTTATCTCCCCATGTACACTCTCTTTTTAGTGTAATTATTTGCAATTTTCAGTTCAGGGACATGGATTTGGAAACCTTGAATGAATCTTGTTAATTTCTTCAATGACTTCAGATGTGAGCTTGATCTTGCATGCATTTATAACCTCCTGAAGCTGCCATGATTTGGTAGCCCCAAAGACGACACTAGCAACAAGAGGGTGTTGCAAAACAAAAGCTGCTCAAAAACACAAAGAACATCAACAAAGAAAATAAGGTCAAATAAAACAGGAAATCTGATAGACAAAATGTAGAAAAATGATTGAACAGCAGCAACTAAAGAATGAACTCAGCTGCTCAAGAATCACAATGATTGCATGGGACTATGTGAAAATAAAAGTAAAAGCCTAAACAAAAAGCAAATGAAAATGCTAAAAGCACTCCAATTGAACTCATATAACAGCATATGATCTACACAATAACAACACATTTCTGATACTAGTCAATTAGTTAATGAATATAAGACTTAGCAAGCAGCAAACAAACAAATATCAGTGCAAACTTAGGGGCTTATGTGTTACGGAATCAAGCAAATAACTGAGATGACAAACAATAACCATCCCCATTCACTCAAAAAGGGGGCCAGGTTTTCACATCTAAAGATAACAGGAGAGGAAAATCAAACCTATAGCAAGAGATACAGGATGAAGACCATAGGTTTTTGCAACATCAAGGTACTCCTGCAAAATCGAAAAGATATGATAGGTATTCATATTAGTAACAAAAATAAACAATTTGGAACACAAGATTGCAATTAACCACGAGTTTCTGCTTTAAACAACTTCATCTACGTAGATCAAACATATAATGACAGAATATATACTTAGGCCAACAAAAATCAAGCCACATCTAAACATATGGCAACAAGAGTGCACAAAATTTCTCATTAGGGGAACGTTACCTCACTATTCTACATTTTCAAGATAAAGAATAAACAAATTTCCTCATTAAAATCAAATAATCAAGACAAGTTTCAATATGATAAACAAAACATGCAGAAAAAAAAGCTTAGCAACACATGACATTATCATTCAAACAAGGCTATATAGATTCTTCATTGAAAAAAAATGAACAATGCTAACTATAAATGGTTACAACTTACAATAAGTAAACCCTATCTAATTTTCTGCTCTAATTTGGTAGCAGTTCTTCTTTCCCTAAAGAGTTCAACCCAACGAGAGTACACCCACAAAATACTAACACCAATCGCCGAAAACACAACCACAGCCCAAGAAACCCAAACCCAAGTCGGAACAAGCCCAGAAGCAAGCCCACTAGCATAAAACACCACCATTCTAAAAACAAAGTAAGGCCCCAGAAACCCCCTCACAAGCGTATACACCACATAAAACGGCGGAGACAAAGCATCGTAAACCCTAGCAGCGAACCGGTTCTCCAATCTACAAGCACCGGCGAGCGTCCACGTATTCTGACACGCGCTAGTCACTTCAGCGAGCACAAGCAAAACGACGACGGAGAAAGCGCCGTGAGAGACAACGTAACGGCAGGTGACGATGACGAAAAGCGTGGCTAAATGGTGAGCGATGAAGAGAACGTCGCCGGGGATGAAAACGACGTAGTGTAACAGATCGGTTACGAAGTAAGCGATGCTGTAATCGAGAACGGTTTTCTGGAAGGAGGTGTTGGAGGCTGCGAAGCCGCGGTTGGGGTCGGAGAAGAGTGCGATTGCGCCGAGGATCGCGGCGGGAGTGCCGTGGAAGAGGGAGATTAAACAGCTGGAGAATTCGGTTCGGATTTTAGGGTTTTTGTTACGGAAGAGGATGAAGTAACCGAATAGGTAAATGGAGAGGAAGAAGAAGAAAAATGGGAAAACTAACCAATCTTGGTGTAACAAAAGCATTCCCATTATTGTGGGTTGGAAATGCGATTGCGATTGCGATTGAGAAAGGGTTTAGAGAGAAAAAGGGGTTTTTCTTTTCGGGTTGGAAATTGGAATTGAAATGAAATTGAGGAATATTCTGGTTTTTATTATGGTGTTTTTTTTTTTTTTTGGTTGAGTGTGTTTTAGAGAAAGGTTTTGCGTGAGTGGTTGTTATGAATTTTGAGCTGAGAAGAAATGGCTTTTTTGTGGTTTTGGTCTTATTTATGAGAAATATGTGGGGTTATTTATTTATTTGTTTATTGTTTTTTGAATTTGGAAAGAGGGAATATACTTAGGTGAGGAATTTGAGATTGAATGGATGGCGCAACAGAAAAAATGTGTTTGGGTGAGAAAAAACAAAAGTCTGCATTTTTGGTAGATGATTTCAGGAATTTTATACTAAATGAAATAGAATTAATAAAAATTGTATTTTATTTGAATTAGGCCAGGTTTATAAAAAATTATTATTTGAATTAATTTTAATAGTAATAAAATGTGTTATGATTAAAAATATCTTTAGTGAAATAATTAAGTATCAGATGCTTTTTTTTGTTGGTGATAAGAATCAGATGTTGTTTTTGGTGATAAGAATCGGATGCTTTAAATCAAGTAATCAAGCAAAAATTGATTATGATAATCAAAACATGCAAAAAAAAGAAGATTTGAAGTTAATGAAAATATTAGCATTGTAGCAATGTTTACCCTAGTAGCTGCATGTATAGCTTTATTGGATAAGCTGTATCTGGATTCCCCTTCTAAATACTTTCCTGTAAATGCCGGTAATAATGATTAATAGTATAGTATCATTTCCAGAAATTCATATCTGCTAGGTACATATATAACATTAAAATCATAAACTAAAGCAAAATATATGTTACAATATATGAACAAACCTTTAAAGAGATTTAACCTAGCATCTGGTGGACCATTGCCAGGGGGGGACAAATATTTGCCTGAAAGAATACCCATTGCCAGAGGACTATAGGCCAACAAGCCAATACTGACAACAGAAACCAATCAATCAATTATCCAAAATGAAGTTGTTTCGGGCTAGCCAAAATAGTCACAAATTATTTAAGGATCGAGACTAAAGGTAGTTTATATAAACACTCATACACTCAACAGCCAACCTAATGAAACCCCTTTTCTATGTCTCATGTGTTTTTGGAAGCAAAATTGGTTTTTAATAATGCATTACAGTTACAGCATTAGAACCAAAGATGATAGTAGTTTCAAACAAAATCATGTTTACCTCTCATGATGGCAGCACTCGGCCATTGCAGAATCGAAAGTTCTACATAGCAGGCTATACGAGTTCTGTCACTAAACAGAAGAAAATCGGTGTCTGAAGCAAATTATCATAAAATGAATTGAAGGAGTTTGAAGGCAGCGACTGATAATACCTGCAACGAAATCATCTTTGGGTAGGAATCAAATTTCTGTGCAACCTGAATAAACTTCATCAAGCCATATGGCGTCTCATTACTAAGACCAACGTATCTGATCTGCAAAAGAAATTTTAATACTCTTGCTTCAGGATGACAGGAACCATAACATTTATCCATCCACAGTGTAGACTATTTGACAATGCTACTTACCTTGCCAGCTTTCACCGCTTTGCCAAGAGCTTCAAGTTGTTCATCTACACTAATCGAAGAGTATTGTCGATCCGGATCGTATTCGGTTTCTCCAAACATTGGAACATAGCTGCAAGGATTAGTAGACACACGCGGAAAAAGATAAGAAAGCTGTCCAACACACAATATAAGGTTAAGAATAAGATATAAACCGATCAGGCCAATGAATTTGATAAAGATCAATATAATCCAATTGCATCCTCAACAGACTGCATAAATTTAAGAAACAAAGCTTATCAGTATTAAACTCTAGTAGCTAGAAGTAGATGTAATGTACAGGTGAATTGGGAAAAAGTAGGTAACCTATTATCTATTGCTTGAATAATATTGGTGGCATCCAAAGATTTAGGACCACCTCTAATCCAAGTCATCTGCCCAGATGGTCCAGCAACCTGTCCATAGTAGTATTGTGATAAACTTGAATGCTACAAAGACTAATAACTTAGGTTAAAGAAAAGAGTTAACCGAAAAATGCAGTATGATTGAAAACAAAAGTAACACAAATTACTAGGGGAAAAGAAGTAATGTGATGATAGTGATAGAAAGAAAACCTTAGTTGCAATAACGAGACGGTCCCTGGGGATATTTCGGTGTTTAATCCACCGGCCAAGATACTCCTCACTCAATCCACAAGTCTCAGCACGCTGAGGCACTGGATACCTACACAACAAGATGAAGATGAATTGGCAAAAGAAAAAGAGAAGTAACAAACTGCTACTGCGTTATTAATTAATTAATTACATTTCAGCGGAGTCGAAGAAGTTGATTCCGGCATGAAAAGCTTCGTCGAGAAGATGAAATGACTCAGTCAACGTGTTCTGTTCCCCAAATGTCATGGTTCCCAAACACAGCCTTGAAACGGTTAGATTAGGAGCAAGGTTGAACACAGGAACTCCTCCATTTGAAAACATCACCTTTCAATTCAAACTCTATCACTGGTTTTGAGGCCACGTAACCGTAACCAACATTTGAGGTTAAATTAATTATTTATTTTATTTTATTTATTTATATTTAATTTAATAAAATAAAAAGAACAACACTAACAAAACACTACAAGTGTGAACAAAAGTCATTAGTTGTTTCAATTTCAGTTTCAGAAAGAAGATGAATGTGTGGCTAACACCCTCATCATCACTCTCCTCTCATCACCTTCATCTACCAATTATTCCCACTAAGCTTAACCTGCACAACACCCTCCTTGCAACTACACTCTCCTTTGGTTTATTCTTTTCTCCCTTCTCTTCTTCTTCTTCTTCTGCCTCTGCTCTTCAATCCCCTACCCTTCCAATCCCTCTTTCTGCTTCCTCCCAATCATGCCGTGATGTTGAGGGAAGAGATGTGATGCTTCCAACTGCTCCTCAAGTTGTTACCAATGAAGGACTTGTTCAGGAAGCTTGGCAGATTGTTAATGATGACTTTCTTGACACTGCTCCTCACCGTTGGTCTCAAGATACCTGGCAGGTAACATGTTTGTGAAAAGTCCCCTCCTAAGGGTATACCAAATTTGAGACTATTTTTTTCATGTTAGACCAGTTTATGAATTTGTATCATGTGGGTGTTGGTTTGCAGCTTGTATTCATTACTTTACCAACTTAAAAGTTTGTTGCTCTATCATCTTGTGCTAGCTAAGTACCTATGTAGCATGTACATTTTATACTGAAGGGTGTCTCACTGTCACAGGTGTACTTGTGATTGTAATTAGTAATTACCTACAGTGGCTTCTATATTATTATGGATGTTTATGTCTCAGTGATGTTTGATATTTGTGTCTATCTCAGTGCTTCGTAGGTTGTTAGCTTTGCTTCTTTGATGTTGTTTATGTATGATAGTTGGTTGGTGCTAATAGTTGTTTATTATATTTGCAGCTGAAGAAGAATGATATTTTGAGCAATTCCATTCAGACAAGGTCAAAGGCACACCAAATCATCAAACGAATGCTGGTCAGTTTAGGTGATCCATATACAAGGTTTCTTTCACCAGAGGAGGTAGTTGATTCTTCCATTTTCATTGCTGTTGCTCTATGGAAGTTTTTTTTTTAATCATTAGATGTTTATGGGTACTTGCCACCTCTGATTGCAATCCTTGATATTGCTAAGAATCATTGTGGTGACTGACACACAAGAAATAAATCTTAGCCGCATTGTGGTCGCAGAGATGTAAAAAAAACCTTAAAGCCGCATCCACAATTCCGGCTGCATGACTTTTTTTTAAATAAATATTGTCTGTCCGTGCCACTACTATATGACCTCAATTGGCAATGGATGATTGTTTTAGTGTGCTTTCAGAGTTGAAAATTGGTGTGCCTATATTCTTATGAGACATCAATTAAACTAAATAAGAAACTTGTGACACATTGTTGTATTATTGTACATAGTATTTACTATTGTTTGTTTTGCTTATATATGATGATGTAATGCATAAATTTCTGTACTTTCTACCATTGTGCTTCTCATGTTTCTTACTTAATGGTATATGGACTTTTTTTACTTTTAAAAGTTCTCCAAGATGGCGAGGTATGACATGACTGGTATTGGAATAAACCTTAGGGAAGTTACTCAAGACAATGGAGACCACAGGCTGAAGGTATTGGGATTAATATTGGACGGTCCTGCATATTCTGCTGGTGTAAGACAGGTAGGCAAAGACGTCTCTACAAAGTTACTTGGTCAATGTCTTTCAAGAATTATACTGTCATGGTTATTAGGGAAGTTACTATGATTATATGTTTTTATTTTGGCGAATGGTTATATCATTATTATGTGCATAACTCTAAGTTTTGAAGTTTTTGTCTTTAGATGGTATTGTCACGCCTTAGAAATGTTGTTTCCTACTCATTTTAAAAATTCTTCACATACAACATAATGCATAATTTGTTTCCTACTCATTATTTTGTGCATAACTCTTGCTTTTATTTTTAGTTAAGTCAATGAAATATGTGAAATGAATCCTGACATGCATTGTCATTTCTACATAATCAATCTCTCGCATGCTCACCTTTAGGAACACAACATGATGCATTTCTTTTTGTTTGCAAGAGCAGTTGAAGCCACTATACTACTCTAGATAAATTGATCGACAATTCAAATGGTCTTTTTTTCTTCTGTTTCTTGGTTAGGGGGATGAAATATTGGCAGTCAATAACATGGAGGTAAAGGAAAAATCAGCATTTGAAGTATCATCCCTGTTGCAAGGCCCTAACGGAACATCCGTGACTATTCAGGTTTTGGATTTTGATTTCAAGTTAGTTTGTCACCTGCTCTAGCCTTTGCTTTTAGGTTTTTAATGTTCAAGTTTAATGATGGTATCACTATTGTCAGGTCAAGCATGGAAACTGTGGACCTGTTGAATCAATAGAAGTTCAGCGGCAATTTGTGGCTCGCACACCTGTCTCGTACCGGATGGAACAGGCTGACAGTGGTGCTGCTCATGTTGGGTACATCCGCCTCAAGGAGTTCAATGCATTGGCTCAAAAAGATTTAGTCACTGGTAAGCTTTTCATAGCATAATCTTTTTTTTTTTAGCTTGCTTGCGAGGACTCTAGAATGAATTGAATTTTGCAGCAATGAAGCGACTTCAAGATATGGGTGCCTCATATTTTGTATTGGATCTTAGAGATAATCTTGGTGGGCTCGTGCAGGTTGTATTTCAATAACACTATCTACCTATACCATTCTTGTTTTTCTGTTTAGAAATCAACTACAATAATAAGTTTTGTATGCTGTTTGCATGCTGAATACGAAGATAAACACATAGGCTTCTATAGGACGTGTCATGTGTGTTAGTGCCTATGAAGCACGGACACGATACAAGTATCGGACACGATACGAGTATCGGACACGATACATATCTGATACGGCGATACATTACTAATTAAATAATACAAGATATGATACATTTAAGATACAACAACAACAACTTATCCCACTAAGTGGAATCAGCTACATGGATTAACTTTCACCATAATGATCAATCAAGGACCATGCTTCTATCCAAATCATTAATTTCGAGATCCTTCTTGATAACTTCTCTTATAGTCTTTTTGGGTCTTCCTCTTCTTCGAATTGTTTGTCTTCTTTCCGTCTGGTCTACTCTCCTTACTATAGAGTCTATAGGTCTTCTCTCTACATGCCTAAACCACCTAAGTGTATTTTCCACCATCTTCTCTATTTTCCTCGAATCCTGCCTAGGTTAGCTTTGCTATTCCTAGCTAGTCTCAAACCCGGATAAAAGGAGAGGATTGTGTTAGGCTTTCGACAATCAACATAAAACTTTGTCGAATCTCTATGACATGGATACGTTTAAGCCACGTATAAAAAAATTAAAATTAAATACTTAATTAAATTATTGAAAAGTTATGATTAATATGAATGAATTCAAATATTAAGAATTGAAAGAAAGAAACGTTAGTGTATAAGTAATACGTACTTATTATAGGAATGGAAAAGAAATATTGAGAATTGAAAAGTTATTATTAATAAAAGATGTGATTAATACGAATGAATTTCAAATATTAAGAATCAAAAGAAAATAACTTACTAGTAATACGTATACAAGAATTGAAAAGAAATAAAAGTTATGATTAGTATGAATAAATTTCTAATATTGAGAATTGAAAAGAAGTCTTGGGAATTAAAACCAGTAATTATTAGGAAAGAATTAAATATGGCTATAAATAATCTTCATTAAAAAGTTGTAACAGAAAATAAAGAGTCATTAAAAAAATCTGCAAAAACTGAAAAGTCACGTATCGGAGAAGTATCAAGGCGTATCGCCACCGTATCGGAAAATTTTTATTTAGTTTTTTAAATAAATAAATTCGGATACTCCTCCGATACGTATCGGCGCTGTATCGGAGCGTATCGGCATATCGGATACGATTCGGCAAGGATTTTGACGTATCCGTGCTTCATACTTAGTACACATAAGTTTTCTACCTTTTCTTTTTCATAAAATGAAGTATATATCAAACAAATGTTCAAAGTTTATGCAGCTTATGGGTTGGCATGTTATCAATAAGTTTGTATTTCTTGAAAACTTTTTAAGCAAATTTGATTGCACTATTTGTGCTCAAATATGCTTTGGTTGATAAGATTACAAGATAAATGATGTGTATGTTGTATTGAATATAACTTTTCCTTGTTTTTTGAAATTTCCTAATTCAGTTTTTCCCTCTTAATTTATTCAGGCTGGAATAGAAATTGCAAAGCTTTTCTTAAACGAAGGAGACACGGTAATTATGTCAACTTTGTGCCTGTGGTTGAATGTCATTGACTAACTCAAGCACACGTTGTGTGAAAAGACTTTCTCTTAAGTAAACCATTAAGATAAATGATTGGGGAGGTTAAGAATGAGGTCTTAAATATGTTGTCTATTCACTTGAATGTTACTTTGCCTTAAAATGTGATATTGGCGGTTAAAACACTTTTTATCTCTTGAATTTTCTTGTTTTCAATAATTGTGATTTCTCATTACAATTATGTTAGACATTTGCTAGCTGTTTACTTAGCATATGGTCCCTCCCACTTTTTTGTACAAAGTGAAGAGTTCAGGATAATAGATTCGATTAATTTTGAGTGAGTTGATCGATTAAGTGGTTTAGTTAATCGGTTATTCATGTAATAGATAACCAATTAGGATGGTGCTATGATCATTAAAGTTGACTGCTATCTTGATGATGCTTCTTCAACTGTTTTTTTGGTTTTTTAATGCAGACTTGTCCTTTTCTTCTGTCTTCATGATAGGTCATCTACACTGCTGGAAGAGACCCCCAGTTCCAGCAAGCTGTTGTTTCAGATACTTCACCATTGATTCGTGCTCCTGTTGTTGTAAAAGCTTTTCCTACATCTGAATTTTTTTTACAATTACATTTACATCAAGGAATTGTTTTGCTCCTGATTTCCTTTTTTATTTCAATCTTCTTCTTTTTTAATTTGAATGAATTACCATGCTATATTGTGACATTTATAGATGATAAGTATGGAGTGAATTATAAAATTGAGTTGGAGAGAGAAACTTTTTAATCTAAGTATGATACTCCCATTTTGAATTACTGTTACTTGCCGTTGTTTAGTGAAGCTCTCATTCTGGAGACTTCATGATTGGGTTTTAAGTCTCTTTTAGTTTGTATCTTGCAGGTTTTGGTGAATGACAAAACTGCTAGTGCAAGTGAAATAGTGAGGAGCTATTTCTTTTACTTCTCAACTCATGCTTCTTATGACACCGATGTTCATGTTATACTTAATTGTTTCAGGTTGCTTCTGCACTCCATGATAATTGTAGAGCTGTTCTCGTTGGAAAACGCACATATGGCAAGGTTTATTTATTTTTTTCATATTTGCTAAATGATTTTAAAATGTGTCTAAATTGTTTTAATCTGCATTCTTATTCTGACACTCATTTGAGCTTCACTGTGCTATTCAGGGCTTAATCCAATCTGTATTTGAGCTTCAAGATGGGTCTGGTGTGGTTATTACTGTTGGGAAGTATGTAACACCAAAGCACAAGGACATAAATGGCAACGGAATAGAACCCGATTTCCAGAAACTTCCAGGTATACTTGTAATTTTCATCTTCTCTTTCTTTCTCCCTTTCTTAGGGCAAGCATTGGAGTTTGTACCATATGACTAGCACTAGATTGTTGTGAAGCACTTGCGCAAGACACTGCTACCGGCACATAGAATTTGGTAATAATTTCAGAAAGAGAAAGTGATTGAATGTAATCAAGTGTCGGTGTCGGACATCATACACATCTTCAATCTAAAATGTCAGGGCTACATAGCTAGATTGTCCTTTTATCTTTCTCTCTATGAAAGTAAATTTGTAATATTGTTTTTATGACTTGAGCTCTCTATATTTGCAGCTTGGGATGATATCAGTCAACATCTTTCAAAATGCAGTATGCTTCAGCAAGGATAAAACTGTTTCTGTGGCGCATTGAATGCAATCTTTTTGCTTCTGGTTTTTCATTTGATTGAAAACTTCTTAAGAATCTGCATCATGGAAGCTGCCATGTATATATATATCAAAAGTTCTGAGGTTATTAATAAATATATCACCCAAGATTGGTGGGAAGAAATGATCTCTGCTAGTATGGATGAGTTTGTATCAAAGAAGACAGAACATAACTGAAGCAACTTGGATTGTAATACTTAATTAACATAGGAATCTTTGTTTACATTTTTGTATATTTTGACTGTATCAAATATGAATGCATAAAAAGTTTACCTATGGATTAAATGCTATAAATTCAAGTATGCTTTATTTATAGTACTCTGTTTACTTATGGATTAAATGTTATTCAAGCCATTTATCATTAATTATTTTCTTAAATATACTGACTTAATCCATACTAAACAAGCATTTTTTTAATTATCCTTTTCCCTTATCCAAATTCAAAAGATTAAACAATAAAATTTAAGTGATCAAATTAAAATTAAAGATAGCACCAAATCATCTTGTTTAAGAAGAAGCTAAATATTGTGTGATTTAAATGTACAAGTGTACTAAAAAAAATAGATGGAAAGGGTCAAATACACTTTACCTTCTGCAATAGTAGCGAGTTTTGATTTATTCTGTTTTAAAAAAATATATATATTTTTGCCCCTTAACAAATATAGATTTCAAAACAAAAAACCTTATAGCCCAAGATTCCCTTTGAGTTGCAGACGTGACTTGTGACTGTCTGCTGACTGGGTAATTATATGTCACCTTGGATTGTTTATGTCTAGGGCTACCGTCTTCGTCTACTGTCCCTTTCCACAACCATTTCAATTGCAAATCGTTTCTTGTACCCCTTTTGTCCCTATCATCTTGCTCATTTCTTCTCTCCCTATCGTGTTGAACCATTTCCATTGCAAATCGTTTCCTGAACCCCGATTATGTCCCTACGTTCAAATGGACGATGCTAGCAAGAGTGTTGGAAGTTGTAATTCGTCCGAGCATTTAAAGGTTCCTAGATGCGGATGTTGTCGTACAAATTGCAACTTCCAACACTCTTGCTATCACCAAAATACAATGTCAATGCCAAATGTGAGTATCGTGTTAATTCTCCGGGGCATACTATAGAACAATGTTGGGCCTTCAAACATAAAGTTCAGGATTTGCTGGATTCCCAAGACATCACTTTTGAGAAACTAAATATCAAGTCAAACCCCATGCCTCTGCATGGTTGACCATCAATAAATGCCATCGAAGTAATCACTGACTGTAGGGGAAGCCATACAAGTAAAGGCCCCGGTAAATCTGTTGAAAGAATATATGTTGGAATGTGGGTTACTTTATGAAGGGGTAAGAAAACACTTAGAAGGAGGGTTGAATAAGTGACTCTTTTCGTTTCCTAAAACAAAGCTCAACAATAATGGAAGGACAAGGTTATTTTTATCCTGGTTCGTTTGAACTCAAACTACTCTAGTCCACCCGCCAAAGTGATTTCGCCTTTCTCAACAAGGACTTAATCCACTATAATCAATTGATTACAAACACACAACAACTGTTGTGACTAACAATGCACAAGTAATCTTACAAGTGACTAACACCACTAAGACTTAAATCTAGTCCTAGTCTGCTTGAGAAATCTGACCAAACTTGGTCTCTCAAGGAACAAATACAAGAGTTTAATCTTTACAGATAGTGAAATAAAGTTTGCTTCTTAATCAAGCTATATCACAACTGTGATTTTTCACTTAGAATAAAATGCACAAATTGTATGAACAACGAGTTTGTGAGCTTAGAATCTTTCACGTAGTTTCTTGCTTCTATTTTGAAAATTGATTGGTTAACTTGGTTGTTGGCTTGCAATCAATGTCCTTCTATTTATAGTAGGAACAATAAGACCGTTGCTGCCTTCAGAAAAGTTGGAGAGCATTAAATGCTTGCGTGTTTCCTTGCAATATTCCATTTTCCAAGAGACTAGTGTAGACACTTGAGTGCTTTCAGCCGTCTTTGCATTAATGAGCAAACGACAGAATGTAAGAACATGTTTCCTACGCTTTGACAAGACAAGTTGGTTTTAACGTTCTTTCAGAATTTGCTCCAATGTCTTTAAATCAGAACATGCTTCACTCATCTTCTAGGCAGTGCTTTGCTTGCTAAGAACTTGATCAGCGCTTGCTTTCAAGTAATCTTCTGAGCAAGGAACCTGCTAAATGTTAGAAGATATATTTAAAAAATAAAGTGTCTTACCAGAGTCAGCAGATGCGTTTGAAGAAAAGGTTCTTTCATAAAAGAACTTCTTCATAATTTTTGCTTGGCACTTCAGAATGTTTTCTGTCAGAACATTATCTGAAACATTCAAACACATTCATCAGAGTATAAATTATCTTAAATATAATTTATTGTTATCATCAAAACTCTGAGATAGGTCAGAACTAATCTTGTTCTTACACTTTACATAATGAAGTTTTTGAAAGGACATTACAACAATTGGTGGATCAGGGGATAGTCCAATTCGGACCATACCCTGAAGGCGAATATGTAGCAGCAATTGAAGGAGGTACGAATAAGCCACTGGTAATCCCTTTCCAAAGGCCAAATCTTAACAAGAAGACCCTTGTGATCCCGTAGGGAGACTCAACAGAAACACCTGTAATAACGTCAAATCAAATTATGAGGATACCAATAGTTCCAAAGACTACAATGGTATTTATGGGGTCATCTCATACCCCTTACAAAAGTGACAAAGCAGCACTGTGGAATTATGATTCAACCGTATATGGCAATAACTTAAAACAAGAATGTGAGCCATCATCAAGTCAAGGACCTGCAATCTCAAATATAGCGGAGACAAGAGGTATGACCCGCAGTGGTCGAGTGTTTGGATCTGAACCACCAAAGAAGAATGATAATGTAAGTCATGGCCTATTCATCAGCTAGATGTCCATAATGCATTTCTACATGGTGATCTTTATGAGATGGTTTATATGCATCATCCATTGGATTTTCGTGATTCTCATCATCTAGATTATGTGTGCCGCTTGCAAAGATCACTCTATCGTCTTAAGCAAGCGCCTCGTGTCTGGTACCAGCGATTTACTGACTTTGTCGCCACTATTAGATTTCAGCATAGCACCTTTGATCACTCACTCTTCATTTACCTTCGTGGCTCTGACATGGCTTACATCTTATTTTATATTGATGACATAATTCTCACCATCTCTTCTCATGACCTACACAAATCTATCATGGCACTCCTTGTCTTCAAGTTTTCTATGAAGGGTCTGAGACTGCTGAGCTATTTTTTAGATATTGTAGTGACCAAGCATGCAGAAGGATTGTTTCTTAGTCAGATTACCTACGCCAGTGACATTGTTGCTTGAGCTGGCATGTGCTCATGTAGATCATCTGCTACTCCAGTTGACACAAAGCAGAAGCTCAGTACCTCTGTCTGCACTCCATATGATGATTCTACATTATATCAGAGTCTTGTCAGTGCTTTGTAATATCTCACATTTACCCGTCCTGGCATCTCATATGTTATTCAGTAGGTGTGTCTTCACATGCATGCTCCCTGTACTGAACACATGCTTGCACTAAAACGCATCACGCATTACGTTCAGGGAATCTTATAATATGGTTTGCAACTCTATCCTTCTCCCATCGAGAAACTTGTTTCCTACACAGATGCTGATTGTGGTTGATGTCCGGACACTCGTCGATCTACTTCAGGTTATTGTGTTTTTCTTGGTGACAATTTAATTTCATGATCTTCCAAGCGACAACCCACACTTTTTCGTTCTAGTGCAGAGGTTGAGTATCGGGATGTTGCTAATGCGATTTCAGAATCATATTGACTCCATAACCATCTCTCAAAACTTCATTTTCCTATTTTTCAGACTACTCTTGTGTACCATGACTATGTTAGTACTATCTACCTATTTGGAAATTATATCCAGCATCGACGCATAAAACACATTGAATGGACATTCACTTTGTTTGGGAGAAGGTCGTTTGTGGTTAAGCATGCGTTTTTTATGTTCCTTCCTGACACTAGATTGTCGATATCTTCACCGAATGGCTCTCTAAAATTCTCTTTGAAGATTTTCAGACCAGTCTAAGCATCCGTAAACATCCCGCTTTGACTGCGAAGGTGTGATAGAATATGTATTTATTTGTTAATAGAATATGTATTTATATATTTTGTCAAAAAAAAGAATATGTATTTATATTTGTATATAACTATAACATGTAATAAACGGTCTCTCTCTCACACACATATATAATACAATCTCTGTAGTGTTATTGTCACACGGTTGATCTTAACATCTCTCAACATCTTTATAATCTTATTATTAAGAAATTATTTTTTTCCACCTTAAAAATTATTCTCCACCATAGTAAAAAATCAAAATTTTCTTTAAAATATAAAAATATTGTTTCAGACGCATCTCAATGTTTCCAGTGATTTCTGGTAAACAACCGCTAGTCTTCCAAACTATCGAATAATCTTTATTAACGCTACTCAATCTCTCTGGTAACTCACAGGATCGACTAGATTGATCCTAGGACTCCTTGGATATTAAAGTTACTCTCACAATCGAACAATTATTCATGGTTGCTATTGTACAAGTGTTTGGTTTATTTCGATCCTTCTCTCTAAGAGTTTAAAAATATGGTCAAATTGTACATGAAAACTAAATTATACGAATAAATGCTAATTGTAATGCTGATTGAAGAGACATATAAAACTGTATGAAAAATGAAGTAAATGGTTTCGATTTGCAAAACATTTAACATAAAAGGTTTCTGGAATGTAGAAGTTTAAAATGTGAAGAAAGCGTTTAATGCAATTTTAAGTAAAAGGATGCGTTTGAAAAACAATACTTGGAAGTAAAGGTATTGAAAGCGTAACAGTTCTCTGAAATATAAAGTGCTCGAAATATAAAGAAAGCAATAAAGAGTAAAACTTTTGAGGAAAAGAC